TGTCTTGTCACCTCCTTTACATTTGGGAGCTCTCTTAGGTGTCTGTGGTTCCTGTTTGGTTTCTGATGGAAACAATAGCCCGAATGGGTGCGTGGACTCCCGTCAAGTTCATTGTGGGGTGGGCACTTCACCAGGTGCTCAGGCCTGTTCCGGGGTGGTTTGTTCCATTTCACTCTTGGATGACAGCCACACTCTTGTTTTTGCCCCATGCAGGGGTTAGGGGTTAGAGGCTAGGGGTTAGGGGTTAGGGGTGAAGGGTTAGGGGTTAGGGGTTAGAGGTTAAGGGTTGGAGTGAAGAGTTAGGGATTAGAGGTTAGGGGTTAGGGGTTAGAGGTTAAGGGTTAGGGGTGAGGGTTAGGATTAGGGGAAGGTAAACAAATGGATCCTGCAGTGACCGGCCTGTGGTGTCGCTGCCCAGGTGGGAAGGTGGTGGGCCTGGCAGATGGGAGTTTCGCTACGGATCCATCTGTGTGTTTGTGGCCCACTGCCCCCCTCCCCCTGGCTCCGCTGAGTCTGACATCGCTGAGCCCTGAGTCTGTGTGTGAGCCTCATGGGCCCTTCGTGCTGCTCTGTCCTGCGCACACCAGACGCCAGGCTGTGGGCTGTGGCTCCCCTGCCTGCTGCCTCTGACCGGTGTCTCACCTTCTTCTGTACGCTTGTGGGACTTGCTTATCTTGCTCTCCGTGTGGTTGTGGGTTTGAACCTTTCCTATTGTTTTGTGGGGTTTAGAAAGGGAGAGAAGAGAAAACGTGGTCACTCCATCATTTTCCCATTGCTGGTATACTAATTCAGAAGCACTGGAAGAGCCCTTTTTCTATTTTCTGCTGGCTCTTAAAATAAGAAAGTTAACCAGGTACTTTATTAAGGGATTGGGAAATTCTTTTAAAAGCATTTATATCTCTACTCTTGGCAAGTGCATTGAGAGTGCTCCCTTGATTCTGCGCACTCCTTCTTGCCAGTGTTGGAGCTGATTCTGGTCCCCTTAAAAAGAACAACGTGGAGGCGCGGGGGGGTCTGCAGGCTGTCCCTGGCAGCTTGTGTACTGGGCGTACCCTCCGCTATTGGGTGGGCTTACCAGACGATATCTTCAGAGGCGGGGACTCTGGGAGAACAGTACATTCACGTCTCACGCTGTGTTCAGCTTACACCCAGACGGAGGGAGGGTCGCTCACTGCAGCCTCACCACACTCTGCTGATAGCGGGGAGCAGAGTCAGCCGCGGTGATGCTCCTCTGCTCTCAGGGCAGGCTGGGCAGGGACAGGAGTGGTCGGAGGGTGGGAACCTGGGGTCACTGACATCTATAGCTTCCCTTGGGCGGTGCGGCTATTTTAATGGAAAAGACGATAAGGAGCAAAGGGTGGCGCAATCTTAGGTTGTTGCTCCAAATGCATTCCTGTGAGGCCCTGGGTCAGAAAGCCTTCCATGCTGCAGACTCAGTTAACTTTTATACTGTTTCCGGGGAGAGAAAGAAAGAAGAAAAGGCCAATGAGGTTGAATAAGTAGTGTAAACTTACTCATTTAGAATTATCACAGAGAAAATGAAATTCCTCCGGAGCTCTGTTTCGATTATCACTGTGCAATGAACACTCCACGACTTAGATCATTATTATTGTGCCCCCCACCTTCCCACCCGTGTGTGTGAATGGTATTGCTTCTGGGCTTCTCAGGTGGCTGTGCAAAGATGTTGGCTGGGGCTGCAGGTTCATCCGAAGGCTGGACTGGGCTGGACGCACAGAGAGTGCACTGGCAAGGCTGGTGGTGGATGCTGACTGCTGGCTCAGAGCTCAGGTCCCTCCACCTGAGAATCCATATGCGACCTCTGCGGGTGGCTTGGCCTCACAGCATCGCAGTTGGTTTCCCAGAAAGACTGTCCCTAGAATGAGAGTTCTGAGGATGGAATGTGGAATCTGACCAGTGGGCTCCATTCAGAACGGGTGCAGGCCACTCGGTATGTTCCGTGGGTCAGACCCATCCCAGGGCTCACGCTGTGCTGCTGGCGAGGGACACAGACCCGGCTCTTGCGGGAGACGGTCAGAGTCATTTTGGAAGAGCGTGTGCAATTGCAGCCTTCTTTGCGCAGTGCCCCTCATCACAAGCTCTTAAAGGGAAAGTGAACATGAAATCCCTTTGCAATAGGCACCCGCACTCTGAATGTTTTAGCTCGTGGACATGGTCTTCCAGTCTGCAGGTTGACTGACTGATTCATTCAACAAACATTAGTACATGTTGTGTGCTGCCTTACGGCCAGAAAATGCTGTGATGGAGGAACCATAGAGAAAGTGAAAGTGAAAGACACAGACGAACACAGAGGGACATCCGTACAGACGGAGGCTGCACGCACGGAGGGAGCCCCTCCAGAGAGACGCGGGCCGACCCCTCCCGTCCGGCCTTTCTCCTGGGAAGCCAGGGGCAGTCCCCCCGGCCGGTGCGAACAGCTGGGGGTTGTGGGCCAGGAGCCCCCAAGCCTGGGTGTCTGTGCCTCTCTGAAAGAGGCAGTTCCCTTTTATCCTCACCGAGGACATGTGGATTGGTTTTGTGAGAGAATCATTGATCGGTTGCCTCCCTGACTGGGGATCGAACCTGCAAGCAACTTGGGTACGTGCCCTGGCTGGGAAAAGAGCCTACAACCTGTTGGTTACAAGACGGCGTTTCAGCCAGCGGAGCGGGGTTGGAGCTGGAGAGTGCTTTGACTGAGGTGCAGACCAGTCCGATGTCAGCATTGAGATTAACCATTTTTTGCAATTGTATTTTTACTTACATGAACTCGTGCTAACGGTATTCTGGACCGAAGGGTGATCGTGCCTAGAGTCGCCTTGCCCCTGTGCGTGTCCTCAGAGTAGTGTTTCCCGGTGTGCGAGTGTCCGCATTCGCTCAGCTGTCCGTGAGGCCAGTCCCAGACCCGGGCGGCCCGGCCGGCGGTGCAGCGAGCGGCCACACCGGGGAACAGCGGCGTTTTTCCTGGTCACTGCACCTTCAGCCCTAAGTATGTCAGTTAACATTGACAGTTACTTTTGCTCCTGGGTTGCTTTCAGCATCTCAGGTGTAGACAGTTTATGTGACCACCACCAAAGTCAGGGTGCGGCTGCCCCGCAGCCCCGGGCTTCCCGGGGAACCTGAAAGGTGCCTTCCCCACCACAAGCCCTGGCAGCCACTGCCCTGTTCTCTGGCCTGTCTTCTTTCTTTTCAAGAACGTCATGCCGTTTTGGGTTTCTCTGGATGTACCCTGACGTGGGCCCGCTGGGTCCTAGGCAGCTCTGTTTTTAACTTGTGGAGGAGCCTCTGTACCGCGTCCGCAGTGCTGCACCGGCCGCGCCCGGCGGCGCCCAGGCCCCTCTCCGCAGCCTTGCCGGCACTGCTGTTTGTCGGTTTATTGGGCCAGCTGACAGGTGTGAGGTGATGCCTCGTTGTGGTTTTAAGTTGCATCTCTGATGGTAAGTGATGCTGAGCATGTTTTCATATGTCTCCTGGCATCTGTATGTCCTTTTTGGAGAAGTGTCTATTCAGGCCCTCTGCCCATTTTTAAATTGGATTGTGTGTTTTTTGGTGTTGAGTTGTGCAGGTTCTTTATAAATTTTGGATATTAACTCCTACTTGGATGTATCATTGGCAAATATGTTCTCCTATACGGTTAGTTGTCTTTCCATATTATACATACCACTATGTTCACTGCAGCATTATTTTCAGTATCCTAGACGTGGAAACAATCCAAGTGCCCATTAATTAAGTCAGTCAGAGAAAGGCAAATACCATATGGTTTCACTTATATGTGGTATCTGAAGAACAGCAGGAACAAATAAACAAAATTGAAGCAAACTTATGCATATAGAGAACAGACTGATGGTTGTTAGAGGGGATGGGTGCTGGGGGGCTGGGAGAGAAAGGTAAAGGGAGTAGGAAGTACACATTGACAGTTACAAAGCAGTCATAGGCATGTACAGTTCAGCATCGGAAATACTTGTACTAATAAAAGCCTACGTGGTCCTTACGTGCGATGTCATTACAAGATGGCTGCCACAAAGATGGCTTCCACAAGATGGCCATGTGCACAGTGGAGGTGGGGCCTGAGGGCCACTCCACATGGTGAGGCCTGGGGTTCCCACAGCTCCATGCGGCATGGAGGTGGCTGGTCCCAGCGGAGGAGGTGGGTTGCAGCAGGAGAGGGCAGTTGGGGATGATTGGACTGGTGGGGAGGAGTAAGGCATTCATTAGGCTGACAACGGAGCAGTTAGGGGGCTATCAGGCTGGCAGGGATTGGGCTTAAACCAGCAGTAGGACATCCCCCAAGGGTCCCATATTGGGTAGAGTACAGGCTGGGCTGAGGGACAAACTCCCCGCGCACTGTGCATGAATTTTGTGCTCCAGGCCTCTAGTTTATATATATATGGCCAATATGCAAATGGTCCCCATGGGAGTTTGATCAGGAGACTGATTGCTCGCTGTGAGATATGCTGACCACCAGGGGGCAGCACGGAACTAAGGAAGGCACCAGCTGGCACAGCCGGAAGTCCCCTATTGGCCCTGATCACCTGCCAGGCCTAGCGACCCTATCTAAGCCTCTAGTACTTAATAATCTTATATAATAAAAGCCTAATATGCTAAGTGTCTGGTCATCTGGTCAGCCGTTCAACCAAAGTATATTATGCTAATGATATACTAAGGCTGCTCAACTGCTCACTATGACGTGCACTGACCACCAGGGCACAGACAGTTGACCAGACTCTATGACATCCACTGACTACCAAGGATGTTCCTACTGGTAGGTTAGCTTGCTGCTGGGGTCTGACCAATCAGGACTGAACAAGACAGGCTGGACACATCCTGAAGCCCGCCTGCGGTCCCTCCCCAGTTGACCAACCTCCTGCATCCCTCCCTGGCACTGTTCGTTCATTGGTGGGGTCCCTCAGCCTGACCTGTGCCCTCTCACAATCTGGGACCTTTTGGGGGAAGTCAGAGAGTTGGCTTCAGCTTGATCTTGCAGGCCCAGCCAAGGGACTCCACTAGTGCATGAATTCGTGCACTGGGCCTCTTGTCTACACTAATAAAAGAGAAAGATGCAAATTGACCATACCTTCATGATGCCCACCAGCCAATCAGGAATGAGTATGCAAATTAAGGCAACAAAGATGGCGGGGTGCTGAGTGGCTGGGTGGCGAGGCGGGATGCTTGTGTCATTGCCATGGCGACAAGATAGGCGGTTCACACTGCCCAGCAGCTCCAGGCCTCTGGGTGGCTTGGAGGCGGAAAGGTGGTTCCAGGTTGGAGGGAGGGAAGGCGGTGCCGGCAGCCAGGGGAAGGAAAGTCCATTCTTGCCCGAATCTCTATGCATCGGGCCCCTAGTATTGTAATAACGATGTATGGTGCCAGGTGGGTCCTGGAAGTACCAGGGAACACGTTGTAAAGTGTTGATTGTCTAAGCACTATGCTATGTACCTGAAACTAATACAAAAATCCCCATATCTCTGAAAAAAAGTCATGTTATAGAATCACAAAACATTTAACTTCCAAGTCCCCGTAACACCTTGTTCCAGATGTCAGTCGTGCATTCCTTGTTGTCACTGAACGGTATAGTCCATTGTATGGATGGACCGCTACTTACTTGCCATTTACCTGTTGAAGGGCCCTGGTTATTTCTAGTTTTTGACAATCACCAGTAGAGCTGCTTTCATGAGTGTCCTGGTTTTGTGAGAACGTGAGTTTCACTCCTTTATGGCTTTGTCACATGGTAAGTGTGTGCCAGCTTTGTGAGAAGCTGCCGAGCTGTGTGCCTGCCTGCTTTCTGATGGGCTGGCTGCTGGTGGCTGGGGCTGCGTTTCCCTCCCTGTGCCAGGACGGGTGTGCTGGGCAGGGCTTCTGAGCGGACACTTTGTTCTTTGCGTGCTTTCACGTTCTGTTCCATTCCGCTGAGCCCCGTTTTTACTGAGAAACCCGCAGCCACCACAGTAGTTTTTCCTCTGTATTTAATTTCTTTTTCTGGATTGCTGTTGAGATTTTTCCTTTTTGTTGTTGTCTTTAGTTTGTTAGTAGTTGGATTGTTATATGTTTGGGTGTAGATTTCTTTGGGTTTATCTTTTTAGGGTTTCCCGGAGCTTATTTATTTTGTGAGTTGATATTTCTTGCCACATTTAGGAAGTTCATTTCTTCACTTCTTCCCCTCTCCTTCTGGGGCTGGTGATATAATATAACTGAATTTTGTCCCACAGGCCTAAAGAGTCCATGTTTTCCAATCTGTTCAGATTCTATAATTTCTGTTGACATCTCTGTCATTTCCATACTACTCTCCTATCCCATTCTGTGAAGTTTTCCTTCCATTTGTTGTTTTCATTCTGCAGTTCTTTTCACTGCCAATTCTTTGCTATAAAAATTGCATCTTTCTGTTGGTTTCCAGCATGCTTATCCTTACTGGCTGGAGCCTTTCTGTCAGGTGATTTCAGCATCTCTACCATCTTGTGTGCAGTGCCTGCTGATGGCTTGCTCCCGCTCTCTGTGGTGAGTGGTTTGATACCTGTGTGGGGATGTGAAGTCTTCCATCCTGCCGGACGCTCCGAGTGCTGTCAGACACCGCGGGAGCAGCTGGCGGGTCCGCTGGGGGTCTGTGGTCCCAGCGTGCTCTTGGGCTGTCCCGCGTGGACTGCGTGGTGCTGTTTTTCAGTTCTCTTCTCAACATCTGTTTAGGGTCAGGTCCACACATGCTCAGCTCCTGGGTGGTCTCAGGAGTTTATAAACAACCTGAAGGGATCACTTTTCCATGTTTCTCCTTCCCCGTGACCCCCCTGTACTTGTTGGTGTCTCAAGGCTGTTTTCAATCTCTTGGCACACATCTTGGCCTCAGTTTCCTGTTGTCCAGCAGCCTGCGCTCCCTCCATTGCCGGGCGGGCCGAGCAGCTGGAGGACAGGAAGAGCAAAGGCACCAGGCTTCACAGCCACTTTGGCGCCAGCCCCTCTGATGGCAGCGGGAGGTCCCCCCGAACCGGGAGGTCCCCCCGAACCGGGAGGGCCCCCAGAACCGGGAGGGCCCCCAGAACCGGGAGGTCCCCCCGAACCGGGAGGTCCCCCTGAACCGGGAGGTCCCCCCCAGAACCGGGAGGTCCCCCCGAACCGGGGGTCCCCCCGAACCAGGAGGGCCCCCAGAACCGGGAGGTCCCCCAGAACCGGGGGTCCCCCCGAACCAGGAGGGCCCCCAGAACCGGGAGGTCCCCCCGAACCGGGAGGTCCCCCCAGAACCCGGAGGTCACCCCAGAACTGGGAGGGCCCCCCAGAACCGGGAGGGCCCCCAGAACCGGGAGGTCCCCCAGAACCTCTGCTCCCGCTGCTCCCGCTGCACATGGGGCGGGGCTGGGCGGGACCAGAGGAGGAAATGGTGATGGAGGACTGGCTGCTCCGCTGTCCAGAGGGAAAGGTGTTTGCTTCTGTCTCTTCCGCGGGCTCCTCCGCGCGCTCTGTGCCACGGCCAGTGAGTTCCAGCGGTGTCAGCCAGCCTGGGGTCACGGCGGGGTCAGCCAGCGGTGTCAGCCAGCCTGGGGTCACGGCGGGGTCAGCCAGCGGTGTCAGCCAGCCTGGGGTCACGGCGGGGTCGCTCAGGGAGAGGCGGCAGGGTCCCACGCCACCTTCTGGCTCAGAGCCACCTGCTCACGGTGTCCTGATGCCGCTGGGCGGCTTCAGTTTGGGTCTGTTTGTATTTGTTAAAGCAGTGACACCGGCCGCTGCAGGGAGGGTTGCAGGTGTCAGGTTCCTCCGTATCCGCAGGCCCAGCCTCTGCACAGGGGCTCAGGCGGCCCCGGCGCCCTCCCCTCGGCCTCCGGGTGCTGGGAGCGGCCCAACTGCGCGGGAAGGCCGTGGCGTCGGGGAGGCGGCCGGCATTGGGAAGGCGGCCGCTGGGCTCAGTACCAGGCCGAGCCTTCTCTGACTTAATGAACTCGGACGCCATCCGGGCTGTCTGCCGCCCCCTCAGCGGGGAAGCTCCGGGGCTGCACCGCGGGGCCGGCCCAGGAGGCCCGGACGGCGCCCGGCCCGCGCAGCCCTGAGCCGGCCCGCGTGTGACCGGAGGCGCCGGAAGCGCCGTGTTGTCCTGTTGCTGAATCGGAGAGCGTCCCAGGACAGACATGCTTTCTGGAGCAGTTTAGGGAAAACACCTTCACCGCCGGCAGCTCCAGGCCGGCCCCCTCCAGGAGCCAGGCCGGGGTCAGCCCGAAGCTTTCCCCGACCCCAGGCGTGCCCGCCGGCAGCCGGAGCGCAGCCTGCTGCACACCCCTCGGCTGCCCCTTCAAACACTGTCCTGGGTCCGAGGCTTGCAGTGTTACCACGCCCTGGTCTGACGTCAGGAAGTCAGACGCCTGAGGGGCAGAAGGCGGCTGAGTGCTGAGTAAGCTGCTGAGGAAATGCTCTGACTGCGCTGTGGTCTTAGAAACATGAGGATGCTCCCCACCCTGCTGGTCCTGCTTCGTCAGGAGGAGAGTCTCACTTTTTTCTCAGGGAAAGAAGCAGCTTCGTGCTGAGCCCTCTGATGCCGCAGCCTCGCTGGGACTGTTTGGTGACGGTGGCGGCACGTGGAGTCCCTGTCGCGGGAGCCGTGCTGGTGGAACGGGCGGCTTGCTTCGCGCGCGGGCTCAGGCTGGGAGGCCGGCACGCGGCTCTCCTTTGCTGGCCCAGAGAGCTGTGAAGAGCTCCGAGGCTGTTCATTGCCATGTGGGGTGACTGTGTTTGAAAACTGGAGTGAAACGATCCTAGCCTTAGCTCTTTCTCTGGGGATTTTTGTAAATCACCGAGAGCCGAGTCCTAGACGTGGCTGTTGGGGGGTGGCTGTTGTGGGGGAGTGTTTTGCACAGGAATCCCGGGAAGGGAAATGTGTGACCATTTAAATCGCCTCTCGGAGAAAGTGTCGCTAAAGCCACGCACACGACCTGGGCCTGCCTGAGCCTTGGTCCTCTCTGAGCAGACAGAGCAGAGGCCATGGCTGGGGGTAGAAATAGAACGAACGGTGTAGTGGGCTCCTCCCTAGCTGCCTGCCCCTTGGCGCTATATCCTCCGAGGGGTCCCAGACTGCGAGAGGGATGTCCGACTGCTGGCCTAGGCCCATCCTGGTGCCGTTCTCCGTAGAAGGAAGGCAGTCAGAACAGCTCAGTGACTCGGGGAAGCGCAGTAACTCAGGGTGAGCCTGCCTCTGTGCTCAATCGCCCACTCAGTGCTCCCAGGCCCCACCGCGGTGGCCCAGCCGTGCACGTGCAGCAGCTGCTGGAGCTCAAGCAGCAGGCCGTGCAGCACAGAAGGCCGTCCAGCCACAGGCCGGCAGTCCGGCATCCCCTGAGGGTGCCGTCAGCATGTGGGGGTGGTTCATACAATGTATGAATTTCGTGCACCGAGACACTAGTCATTATATAAGTTCTTTGGTTTATCTCTTCTCGTCCCTTCAGCCCCACATTGAGGTGTGTCAGTCTGTCCCATGTCTCCCTGCTTGGGGTTTTATTTTGCTGGTCAATTCATTTTGTTCATTAGATTCCACAGAATAGTGAGATCGAATGATATTTGTATTTCTCCGTTTGACTTATTTCACTTAGCCTATTTTCCAGGTCCATCCATGCTGTCCCAAAGGGTGAGAGATCCCTCTTTTTCACAGCTGCGTCGTGTCCCATAGTGGAAATGTCCCACAGCTTCTTATCCACTCATCTGCTGTTGGGCACTGGGGCTGTTTCCAGATCTTAACGATTGCAAATAACACTGCTATGATCATAGGGCTGCCTATATCCTTTCCGATTGGCATTTTTCGGATATATTCCCAGAAGTGGGATTGCTGCGTCAAACAGAAGTTTCATATTCAATAGTGGTTGCATCAGTCTGCATTCCCAGCAGCAGTGAACCAGGGTTCCCTTTTCTCCACATCCTCCAGCACTTGTTTGTGGATTTGTTGATGTAGCCATTCTGACAGGTGAGAGGTGATAACTCTTTGTGGTTTTAGTTCGCATTTCTCTGATGATCAGTGACTTTGAGCATTTTTACATGTGTCTCTTGGTATATGTATGTCCTCCTTGGAGAAGTGTCTATTCAGGTCTTCTGCCCATTTTTTAAATTGGATTATTTGTCTGTCTGCTATTGAGTTATATGAGTGCTTTATATATTTTGGATATTAACCCCTGATCT